TTACAAAATTCAAACAAAAAAAGTCGTTTTTGAACTAAAGGCTTATTTATTTTGCAAAATTTTGTTCAAACATGCTGAAACATCAAAAAAGAATTCAAATTGATGTTATTTACTTTATTTAATTAGCTTTTGACGACAATTAAAACCAAAATGAGCTGAGAAACCACAAAATMTGGTCGAAAAACCTTTTTTTCGTGAGATTTTGTTCAAACAAACAAAAAATTCAACAAATTAATTTAAAAATTATAAAATTCTTGCATTTTTTGACCGTTTTTTTTTGGCCAAAAAAGCCATTGTTTRGCAATAAAGAAAAGAAGAGAGAAAGAAACAAAAAGTACAACAAATTAATAAAAAAAACAACAAAATGTTAGCCTGAACCTGAACCAACTTAAAGGTTGCAGTTTTCTGTATTCAGTGAAGTGGCGACATCTCAAAAAAAAATTTTTTTCAGATATGTAATGAATTGGTCAATTATTGGGTTACAAAACAATTGTTTTTCGTTTATTGTATTGTAAATAAAAACAATCAATTCGACGTTTTTATTTTGTTTTCAAATTTTTACCTAAAACAAACCATTGTTTCGTATCCAATCAAAAAAAAATAAAACAAACAAAAAAATTCAATAATTTTATTGGCACAACTTAAACTAGCTTTGTAAAACATCTGTTAAAAAACTCTCTGTACTATTACTAAACGTGCTAACCAACTCTACATTACAAGTAAACAACGAAACTAATTTAAAAACAACAATCCAAAACAGAGTAACAAGAATAAAAACAAACAAAAATTTGAGAAAATTATGTGCAATATCGTACCTGAAACAAAAAAATAAACCATTCGAATTTAAATTTCTTTTTTTCCTTACTTCCTCTTCCTCGCCTTCGCCTCGTCCAAAGTACTCATGGGATCATTCAACAAATGCACTCTTATCCCTTTGAAATAACCCCGAAAGTAGGTGATCCAAGGCACCGTTGTGATGCTCAAAGGGAAGAGTTCCTTATCAGTGATGCTCATTTTATCCCAAAGATTAACAACGTTATCATTTGTGAATTTCCATTCTCTTGTGCAGAAAAAGGCGATAACGTCGGAAAATTTGTGGATTTTGCTATACATCCTGACTAGACGTGGCTTTTGGCCGAGGATTATGGCACCGAAATCCAGGAGGAAAGCCGGGATGAGATGGAGGAGGATCCGCATTAGGAGGTAGAGGCGGGGGTCGCTTATAGCGGTGATTTTGATGGTCCAGAGGGCCTTCTGAAGGGGGTACTTCGTACCGTGGATTTTATTCAGGGTGTTGTACTCGCACCAAGTGACCGAGTTCTCCACGGAGGAGACGTAGTTGTAGATGGGGATGCTGGCAAGAAATTTATACTCAAAAAATTAAAAAAAAAGAAAAATCCAAAATTAATAACTTTTTCATTGAAAGAGAAAGAATAAAGATTTGGAAGTAATCTTTTCTAAAATTTTGATTCCTAGAAGAGGTTTTGTCAAGAAATTTTTACTCGAAAGTTTTCGAGAATTTTAAAGATAAAGATAAAAAAATTTTACTCAAAAAATGAAAAAAGAAATTCTAAAAAAAGTCAAAACTGACAATTCTTTCATCGATAAATAAAGATAAAGATTTGGAAGTAATGTTTTGTAAAATTTTGATTCCTAGAAGAGGTCTTAACAAGAGATTTTTACTCAAAAAATGAAAAACAAAAAAAAAGTCTGAAAGAAGTCAAAACTGATAATTTTTTCATCGATAGATAAAGATGAAGATTTGGAAGTAAACTTCTCTAAAATTTTGATTTCTAGAAGACGTCTTGACAAGAAATTTTTACTCAAATGTTATCGGGCATTTCAAAGATAAAAATTGAAATGCTGACAAGGAATTTTCATTCAAAAAATTAATAAGAAAGATAAATTCTAAAAGAAGTCAAAGCTAAATTCTTTCATCGATAGATAAAAATTAAAGATTTGGAAGTAATCTTTTCTAAAATTTTGATTGCTGGAAGAGGTCTTGAGCAATTTTTTACTCAAAAGTCTTCGGAAATTTCAAAAATAAAGATAAAGATGAGGATACTGACAAGAAATTTTTACTCAAAAAATTAAACAGAAAAACAAAAATTCAGAAAAAAGTCAAAACTGATAATTATTTTATTGATAGATAAAGAATAAAGATTTGGAAATAATCTTTTCTAAAATTTTGATTCCTAGAAGAAGTCATGACAAGAAATTTTTACCCAAAACATTAAGATGAAAGAAAAAGTCTGAAAGAAGTCAAATCTAATAATTCTTTCGATAAATAAAGATTTGGAAGTACCTAACCTTTACTAAATTTTGATTTTTGGAGGAGGTCTTGACAGGAAATTTTTACTCAAAAGTCTTCGGGAATTTTAAAAATAAAGATGTAGATGAAAATAAAGATAAAGATGAAGATGCTGACATGAAATTTTTACTCATAAAAGGAAACAGAAAGACAAAGTTTGAAAAAAGACAAAACTGATAATTCTTTCATCCATAGATAAAGACTTGGAAGTACTCTTCTCTAAAATTTTGATTCCTAGAAGAGGTCTTGACAAGAAATTTTTACTCAAAAAATTAAAAAGAAAGAAAAACCCTAAAAGAAGTCAAAACTGATAATTCTTTCATCGATAGATAAAGATTTGGAAGAAGTCTTTTTTAAAATTTCGATTCCTAGAAGAGGTTTTGATAAGAAATTATTACTCAAAAATTAAAAAAAGAAAGAAAAGACAAAATTGATAATTTTTTCATCGATAGATAAAGATAAAGATTTGGAAGTAATCTTTTTTAAAATTTAGATTCCTAGAGAAACAAGAAATTTTTACTCAAAAGTTTTCGGGCATTTCAAAGATAAAGATGAAGATGAAAATAAAGATAAAGATGCTAATAAAAAAAATTTACTCAAAAAATGAAAAAAATGAGGTATTTTAAAAAAATTTAAAACTGATAATTCTTTCGTCGATAGATAAAAATAAAGATTTGGATACTTCCAAAAAAAGATTACTATCTTCTCTAAAATTTTGATTGCTAGAAAAGGTTTTGACAAAAAATTTTTACTCAAAAGTCTTCATTTCAAAGATAATGATGAAGATGATGAAGATGATGAAGATGATGAAGATGATGAAGATAATGAAAATGATGAAGATGATGAAGATGATGAAGCTGATGAAGATGAAGATGAAGATGAAGATGAAGATGAAGATGAAGATGAAGATGAAGATGAAGATGAAGATGAAGATGAAGAAGAAGAAGAAGAAGAAGAAGAAGAAGAAGAAGAAGAAGAAGAAGAAGAAGAAGAAGAAGAAGAAGAAGAAGAAAAAGAAGAAGAAGAAGAAGAAGAAGAAGAAGAAGAAGAAGAAAAAGGAAAAGGAAAAGGAAAAAAGAAAAAAGAAGAAAAAAGATAAAGAAAGAGAAGAAGAAAAATATAAAAAAAAGAAGAAAAAGAAGAAAAAAAAAGTAGAAAAAGAAAGAGAAAATGAAAAAGAAAAAGAAAAAGAAAAAGAAAAAGAAAAAGAAAAAGAAAAAGAAAAAGAAAAAGAAAAAGAAAAAGAAAAAGAAAAAGAAAAAGAAAA